CGTAATAACGAATTGTCAAGTTTTTTTTTTGACGTGGCAAACCTTACTAAATAGCTGTGTGGCATGGTGGTGGGGTGGGTTAACGACAGCATTTATATTTACGCCATCAAGCCCCCCCCCCCCCCCCCAAACAAAAAAATAACTCTTTTAGGAAAGGGAGCCACTTTGGAGAGATTGTGATTGTTCTCAAGATAGACTGGTCACCGCCATGAGAATGTGGAATTCCAATCGCTGGCTTCGAAGCACCAATGAGAGACAAGTGCCAGCAGATTGCACACTTCTGCTTTTGAATGAGAGCCTGTGTACAATTTGGCCGATCGACTGTTTCCACAACGCACTTGTCCCAATAACAAAACGAATTCTGAGAAAACACACCACCCTCTCGTGTGCACAGGTCCTTGCCGGCTACTCTGGTCTCCCTCCCGCACAAAGCCAAACACTCATTAATGTAATTGGCCAAATATCCCAATATAGGACCTTTTCTGAAAGAAAAACAAAGTCTTAAATCCGAGTGAGACCGTCCTGGGTCATCCGGTGCCAATGCTCCTATCGGGCATGACCATAAAACAAATGAGAGAGCTATGCAGCGCAGCGCAACCACCAAAACCTGCTCAAGTAGATAATAATTGCTGCTAGTATTTATGATTTCAAATCAATGATTGTATGCATTTTCTCGGTTGCGAAATATACATTTGGGATTGAGGCATCAATTCAAATTAGCAACGTATGCTCTAATGGAACTCGGTGAGAGAAATGATGTCATTGAATTTTTTTTCTAAATAGGTAACCAAATAAATCGATAAACACTGTACGTACACTTGGCTCCGCAAATGCACTTGGTATTGGCAGGCCTCACCACAGAGGTAGGATGGGATAATGGCAGGGACGCACACCCACAATAGCAAAGCCCTGTCCGTTTTTCGAGAAGAAGTGATTTATAATGACACGTTGTCTGACGTTGGACTACAGTCATCACAAAATACAAACCGGGAGTTTCAGCATTCATGGACAAAAAACGGATGCGCCAAATACTGAGATAATATTCAGATATGAATGATTTGAACACGAAAGAACGAGTGACTCTAACATAAAAATTCAAGTTAATCTCTCCCATCGCTATCTTTGCTGCCCCCCCCCCCGACACATCCCGCTACTTCCCTGTCTCTTGACTACATCTCTCTAATTTCATGACGTAGCAGGCTCATCTTTGTCTCTCGTTTCTAATCTCACTACATCTCTCTCCCTTGATGATATCTCACATTTCACTCCACTTCTGTCTCATCCGCATCTCTCTTCTCTCATCTCAAATTTAGTTTTCTCTCTCTCATCTTTACACTTCTCCATCAATTTGTCAGTGTCCCTTTTACCATTTCAATTCTGGGATTATAAATTGAAAGTGGGGGGGGGGGGGGTAGCCACAGAAAATGATTTCTGCGTCTGGCCCCTACAGGACAGCAGAGACCACTGATCGCTACAGTTTGATTCACGTTTGTATCTTTGTTTTGTATTCGATGAGCATCACAGATTTCTAACAGGAACTCGACCTCTTATGGGACTTTAAACTCTGGGTCAAGTGATTGCTACTGCCACCGACACTGCAAGGTTTTCATTGTTTTCCAATCACGATCGGTGCGCAATGACCCGATTAGCATTCATACAAACATCGCTCGGGTAAATACGGATAGACAGACCGAAGGGGTGTTTAATCTGAATGGGAATTATTCACGTGGAAAATTGTGCTTTTTATCAGTCCGTAAACGCAAGGGGTATATATCGATGCATCAATCTGCCGATTAACATCGATTCGTACGTCGAGCGGTGGCACAACGGTTAGCATGCTGCACTACGAACCCCGGTCGCCTGGGTTTGATATGGAATCCCGCTGGTCCTGGGCGCCCCCCCCCCACCCTCTATCACCAACCTGCGCTGACCAGTGTGATGAATTATGGTCAAACTATTTCAATAACCAACGCAGGATGGGAGGCGTCCATCCGGTATTTTATTGTAAATCATTAAAAAAAATTATAGAAGCAATAGCAATGATAATAATAATACTACAGATGGAAAACAGTTAGGGTGGGAGAAAACACGTGACCCGAGACCTTCCTCTTAACCGGACAACACAGCGAGGTGAGATGTAGAAATCTCCTTCTGCACGTACATACGTTCAACCTCTTTCGCACCGCACGTAGCCAATCGTGCCAATTGGAGGTGCGGGGGAAAGAACCTCTCGAGCAAACACAGCTAGAAAGGTCATCAAGCCGATGCAATTGATGACATCACACCTCACGGCCGCTCCCTCTCTCGCTGGCAAATCCCTGCCGGCTGTTACACAATTGACGTGGCCAAGCCGGAGGTGCGTTTGCCACTCGTCGCGGGGAGGTTCACAGTTCGAAGCCGGCAGGCCGTCCCGATCAATACCGCAACAATACTGCGTGCCGTCTGTTTCGCAGAGGACGTCAAAGATCCAGTGATGTAATTCGCAAGGAGGAGGCCATTGTGTGCCGGCGTCATGGTTCATATTTTGCCCAATTTTTTTTTCAGAATTACCCCGCAGATGACTCAATTAGGATTATACATGGCAATCCTCGGCCCCCAACTGCGAAAACCTGGCATGACCGACAGCCACCCCATCCCCCTTAGCGGAAAATTTTCACGGGCAGTTTATATAAGACCACTCTTCAAGTCTCATCGTCACGACCGTCTGGCTTTTGGACTGCCGCTGGGTCTCTGATCTCTGGGTTGCCACTCCAGTCAATGTCTCAGTCGCGGTAACATTCCCTCCTCCATCCTGCCCACATGTCCCATCCATCACGACGTCTTCTTATTCCTGATGAAATATGCAGCAATTCTCCTTGCCTTGCTCTGTTGTGAACTTCCAAGTTGCTTACCCTCTCCGACCATGACTTTCTTATCTCAGCTGACAGACGTAACTGATATATTGCATGCCTCTTCTCTTTGGAGGCGAGCATTGGTGGACGACACAGAGATGAGTGAAACCCCCAAACCAGCTGGGCTGTGAGGTGACACCAAGAGTAAAGGTGCAGTCCTGCAATTGCTTTGCCCACGCGACTGCTGGTGGAAGGGCCTCCACTAGAGGGAGCTTTAGAGAGCCACTCCTGTCTTCCATCCTGGCCAGATATCTTGGATGAGGTGCAGGTACCTGAACTTAATCGCACCACACGTGACCTGCCGATCACCGAAATGTGGTGGCCCCATTTATACCGCTGGGTGGACAGAGCCAGGTTTAAATAATGAAGTTGCACCACCATAGCAGCTGCCACGCCAGGAGACAGAACCGGCAACTTTTGTATTGCAAGCCCAGCGTGCAAACTATCACCACAAGGAAGCATCCCCATGGCTATAATAAGTTGATTTAATTAATCTGCGTTGAGCTTCCAGTGCTATCGCCTCGTACCTGTGGGTTTTCTCTCAGCACTTTGCATTACTCCCACGTGACAAATGCTCATTCATAAAAAATAATCCGGGTGTCTATTGCAGTCTTTAGATTCAGTGAGGCTTTCCTAGGCACATCATCATCATCATCAAAGTGCATGGTCAATCCACTGCTGGATGAAGGCTTCCCATAGCCGCCGCCACCTTTTACGATCCTGCGATGTAACGGTCCACGTAGCGCCCGCACACAACCAGATTTCGTCGCTCCATCTCGTCAGCGTACGTCCGGCCGGTCGCAATCATTATTTTTGAAAATTATCGATAGAACAAAACCAGAAGGGGTGGTGGACCCATGAACACATTCACATATTTTACTCTCTCTGTCCAGAGCCAATGCTCAGATGACCTAGATGGGACCCAGGCCAAATCGACTTCAATGGGCACAATTCACGTGCTGGCAGAGGGCCAATTAAACCTGGCAGAAGCAGATGGCCATTAGTTCTGCCAGGCTTGAAGGAGGTTGCATTTCAAAAAAACACACAAACAGCTCTTATCTCGTGGCGTATACCTGCCTGTGCTGCCTGCCCCGGGCGGTGCGAGCTGAGATTGAAGCTTCGTTCATGAGAAGACCCATACACACGGTGGCCCAAAAGTCAGGACACATAGGGTTATTTAATGTATTTTAACAGTGGCATGAAAAAAAATTGTCAAGGCGCTCTTCCTTCTCCCTCCCAGCTTAAATAGACGCTCCAAGCCTAGGACATGTCATTCAGACTCTGTCTTATCGACAGACATGTTCTTCACCTGAGGACGGCTGCTTGCGTTGTGGCCGAAAAGTCGTGAGAATTATTTTATTATGTTTTATTTTTATTATTTTATTACTTCCCTTCTACGTGACTTTACCGAAAGAACCAAGAAGATGAATCCCTGCAGTCACGAAAGCTTTAAATCGAAAAATATCATTATTGTTCATTCTCTAAGTTCATATTATATCGCTTATCATTTTTTCTATTTTTCCATCTTCCTTTTCAGACGACGTTTAAAAGTGCCAATGCAATTGGCTGAAGACGAACGAGTGCAATTGTTTTTTTTATGGATCAGAACAAGAATCTTTATCCGTACCGGTGGAAATCCGATGCTAACGACGGCAGTGCTAAAGACGGTGAAGGAGGCAGTGATTGGGGTTGAGATGTAAAGCAAGGGGCGGGGGGAGGTGGGAGAGCGAATGGGGAGGAGATGGATGAGCGGGAGTGGGAAGAACGCACTCGTACTGGGGGTGGTGGGTGTGATGAGAAATGGGAGGTGACGAGCTTGTGAGGAAGGTGGGTTGGGGGGGTGCGGTGTGGGGGGACTGGGTGAGGTTAGAAGATTGACGTCGAGGTGCGATCGGCGGATGCGTTGAGCTCACGCCGCGAAGGGAAAAGTTGGCCCAGATGAGCACCTCCGACTAGCAGCTCTGATGAGCACGGTTGGCTACGTACAGTGCGAAAAACAGTTCAACATACATACACATACATACCAATGCCCCGACGCTCAAAACTGATCAGGAACTTCGCCCTTTGATACCGAGAAGGGGGGGGGGGGGGCGGCGGTGGCGCCGTTACCTCCGAGCGTGGCGGAGAGCAGGACGTGCGTGCCGTAGCGCCGGATGAGCCCGTCGGTGAGCTGCTGCGCCGACGGCCGGCGGCCGAGCCGGCGCAGCGTCTGCAGGAACTCTGGGGCGAGGCCCACGTGGGCGCCCAGACCCTCCTGCCGGCCGATCGCCACGTTGTTCACCCTCCATCGCGCAAACTCCCTGCATGTGACGGACGCGCACGCACAAACGCATGTGGGTCACCGTACTCAGCTGCTAACGACTGCTTTTTGTGGTTATTTTTTTGTAAATCCCCCGTGCCCCCTCTGTCCAGCCAGCGGTATAAAAAGGTACCAACACAGGTTGTCGATTGGCAAGTCGTAATGCCATAACGCCTTTCCTCTGTGGGGCACTGTTTTTCGCTTGCGTGCAGCATCTACAGTACATTGAGATGCAGCCACGGTTGCATTGGTTAGCGCGCTGGACTTGCAATCCAGAGGTCGCCGGTTCGATTTCGCCTCCATGCGTGACAGTCGAAACAATCGGCAATTTTCGTAAATACCCCAAACCTCCTCCATCCGGCCAGAGGTATAAATGGGTACCGCCAGAGGCAGTCGATCGGCAAGTCTTGTGCGGTGAGTGGGTGGGTGGGTGGGGTAAACTGTGGGTAATCCCACCTCTTCCGTGGAGTGGAAGATGAGGCCAAAATACCCTTAAGAGGAGGCCAACATAGCTTCCTTAGTGGAGGCCCTTCTGGCAGCAGTGGCGTTAGCAAGCAAGTCTGGCCACTTGTTATCGCACACTCTTGTGAGTCCGGCCCATCACAAATTCGCGTTGATCTCAATTGAAACTCATTTCTTCTAAACTGAAAACTAATTTCTTTTGAATTGCTTTTTGTGTTTGGTTTGTTGTCCTTCACCCCACCTCCGATAAGCATCATTGGCTACGTACGGTGTGAAATAAATTCAACATACATACGGGATCTGCACGTACAGCAGAGATCCACGATATGGCCTGCTGCAAGTATGGCCACGTGTGCACACACAAATATAGAGATCTCCTATGTAGCCTTTAACAGACTGTGGCCGCAAGTACTGTTGGCGAGCACCTATGAATGCCAGCATGGCACACAAGGGGGTGGGTGGCCAGCGGTATTGATCGGGCCTTTGTCTACCCAGTACTGATGTTTGACATATCACACCGGGTACTCGCTTAAAATGAGAAAATATTGAGAAAGAAACCTACAACATATCAACTCTGATTTTTTTGTAAAAATGTGCTTTCTTTTGTTTAATTGTATTGATACAATCTGGCATACATGCAAATACGAATTAGGTTCATGATTTTTTGCTCACAGAGATAATGGTCCCGTTTAGCCAGTTGCCCATCTATCTTGCGAGGGAGATCAGTGGCACAAGGACACAGCAGCAGTAACAACATCAACAAAAAATAAAGACAAAAAACGTTAATATTGCAGAGCACAAGTACAGGATCCTTCGGGAATAGTGCACAAGTAACAAACGAGGTCTTTGAATATACATGCAAATAAAGTCCACAAAATATATAAAATTAAACGGATATTAGGAAGCCACTGGAGCTATGCACTTCTAACTCGAGATTGGAAACTAATTTCTTTTTAGTTTAGTTTATTCTCCTTCCACCGCACCTCCGATTAGCACGGTTGTCTACGTACAGTGCGAAAGAAGGTCAACACACGCACAGTTACATACGTTACCAATCGACCAAAGTCAGATGCCCTTTTATAGGCACTCCATTAATGACTGCAGTTCCCATGGCCGTCGCAGGGAGAGAGACGTGAATCCGAATGGGCAATCACTTCCCACACACCACCAACTGCACTTTGTTGATCAAAATGAAAAAGAAAAAAAATCCATGCACACTCTATTCCACTCTTTTAAGCCTCAAGGGAATCTTGGATTTTTTTTTTCTCTCTCTCTTCGTCTTTGACCACCCCGTTACCCTCTTTTGCTAATAGCGGGTCTGGCAATTTCAATCTAAGCGGAGAATCCCACGCTGCGCCGGAATGACATTTACCATTGACAGGCCTGTCTGTATAAACCCTCCAAGTGGAATTGATGGATTTGTCCTCCCCCAATTAGTGCCGGTCCACTAAGGGCCGGATTAAAACCGTCCAAACTCATTTCCCTTGTGTCCCCAACAGCTGTCAGCGAAAGGACACCTACGTCCCATTAGACCGAACGGGAGTTGAACCCGGGTACAAAAGGTTGAGGAGGCTAAGGCCACAAAAACGGATTGCGTCTCCGCGCGTCTGTTCATTTTTAATTTACTGTAGCCGCAGGCCCCCTGGCCGCGGGATTGGTCGGCGGTCACCGGTGGAATATCCACGGGCTCGTGCGAGAGGAGGCGGTGATCTCGGCTGCGAGTGCTCGATACAAGGCAGCAAGGCAGCCGCTCGCGACGGCTTGGGACGTTCCTCCAGTTGCTCGCGTGATCTTCGATAAGTTGCATTCAATCCGAATTGTAGGAATCCGAACCGTGATTCTGCTGCGACTTGGTCAACTCGCAGCGACACGCGGGTCTTAATACACCGGTTGTGAAGACATTTATTTCTTCATTTTCTTAAACAAATTCACGTTATCTGTAGTAGTAGTGGTATTTATGGTGCTTGCATCTTAACTTACACTTGTATTCTGCTGGATGCGTCGCACCAATCGCTTCCCCCTGCCACTAACTTTGGCTGCGCGGCACGCTCTCCGCTGTTTTGCTTTTGCATAAGATGAGATTTTTTTTCATTGCGATTTTGTAAAAACTACAATTTTTCGTGATGTACACCTTAACCTCGTAGATGATGCGTGGATGATGGCGATTGCGATTCAGTTTAATATACAGTATACAAGATCCACAACCGATTAAATGAGTACATCCGTGAGAGCGAAACTTAAAATCAGACCATTTGCTGTGCGGCTCTGCGCCGTGTTTCAATGCGGTACACCGTGTCGTTCGACACGGTGTCCGACGTTTCTCTCCGCGTGCTTTGAGCTTCTGCAGTGACTTAATTATCCACGTGCTGGGAGCTTCTCCAACTGAAGCAACTCATCGTAGGTTGCACCTCCGATTAGCACGGGTTGGCTACGTACGGTGCGAAAGAAGTTCAACATGATACAGGCGGGAGACACATCCCAAGGCGTGCTACACGGCCAGCTCGTTATGCCACGCGCATTTCTGCCTTCTCTCAAATTAGCCGGTAGATATATGTACGTGTATATATTGTTGTGAACGTGTGGCTGAATTGATTCAGTTCCTAATGAAGCTCTAAGCACGTGGGGCTAAACGTCGGACATCGTGGCGCGCAACACGCGGTAGCAAACCTGGAAACACAGATGTGAGAGCGAGGCATGAAATCACACCGCACACGCGACCACAAATGGAGTTTACCTACACTCACGGAGAAAAACCCACACGACCACGGGGAGAGAGACACACAAACTCCAAAAGTACAGGCACCGTCAGGGTCGGGATTGAACCCAGGATCTCCTGCACACCAGGCGGGGTAGTTATCATCTCGCCAGCGTGAGCGCTTTTGTCAGAAGCGCGTTGGCGCTTAGCTAAACCCTTCCGGCGTGCGAGGACTCGAGCCGATAAGAGAGCGGAGGACTCCCCCCCTCCACATCTCCGGGAGCTTACGGCCGTTAGCGTCACGCGTGGATCGCACGCCCTTGAGACAACGGAACGCTGGGAAAGCGAATGTTACATCCCCGCGAGAGGAAAATAACGGAGTGGGGCCCTTCCCCCTAGGGGATCTGGAGCCACTACTCCATGACACCTGCATGGCCCCTGAAACAATAATGACGATGGCTTTATCGCATGAGATTAAAAAAAAAATGTAAACGTAAATGCTTTCATAAATTATAAAAAGCAAAAAAAAATTGGTCATAAATTTGACCCCAACGCTAATGACTTTAAAAATGGGGGTCGAGCAACTAATTAGTGTTTAATTGCATGGCTCATACCTCTAACGGTAATGGATTCTCTGCTTGCCTTGGCAATTGAGCCTATCTGTAATTGCATTAAAAGTTAAAAACACACCTCTCCTATTCAATGTGCGACGATTTACTTGTAAGTGAATTGCCCTTCGATGGCTTTTGATGCGAGATTGCTGATGTTAATTTAATCAATTTTTTTTTAAACACCCTCAACCCACCTCTTCCCTCCAGATATAAGTTAATGGATATTGGGAAAATTAAAACATTAACACGATGCCATCCTTGATGTCAACTTAAAGAGCACCTTTAAAATAGTCTGTATTATTCTACCCATATTAAAGCGCTTAAAAAAATAACTTCATTTTTTATGCTAAGAAGCGGGAAACATTATAAAAACATTCGACGTTGAAGATGCGACACACTGATGCGCGTGCAACGCCACAATACTAATAGTCGGGGCAGCAAGTGTGTTTAAGGCCTTTTTAAACGTAAGTGCATGAGATAATTACATTTTTGCAGTGTGCTTTGACGTACCGAAATTAATTGCTTGTCTGTGTATATTGAGCCAAACAGCCATGCATTAGTTATGTGTCTGCACAGCTAATGCCATCAAAGTACAGCTCCTGATTATAGACAGAGAATCATTTTCTCCAGAGCACGACCGTGGAATGGCAGTGCTGTTTTTTTGTTCTCTCTCGCCGCCTCCTTCCAATGTTAAACACGACACTCTGACATTAATGTACAATGTCGTACGTGTAAAAACTTATCAATGTTGTGAAATGCTAATGTTATTATCGAAGGCACTTAACCGAGCAAAAGGGGAGGGTTTTATCAATTTGCGGTGACGCAATGTGTGTGAGAGCGGGTCGTGTGGTGGTTATGTATGTGCGTTGAAGGTCTTTCGCACCGTACGTAGCCAATTGTGCAAATCGGAGGTGTGGGGGGCGGACAACCAATTAAACACAAAAATCAGTTTTAAATAAATGAGTTTAGATGTATGTATGTATGCTGCGCTACAAACCCAGTGACCCGAGTTCAATTCCCGCTCGCGGCCAACACCAGTGGTGATTATCTGAACCGGTACTGGGCCTCCCTTAGGTCGACTCAGCCTCAAATGAGTACCCAGTGCGGTGTGTAGTAAACATCGTCACTCAGGCGTGGTGCTGCTGGCCACCAACCCCCTCGTGTGACGTGCCGGCATTCATAGGTGCTACTCCGCTAACAGAACTTGCCCCAACAGTCTGCAAAGGCTGTATGAGGAACCTTTGTATGTGAGTATCCTACGAGCCTTGAGCGCTGTGCATCTCCATCGCGGGTGCTCAGCAAGCAATGAGAAAATCCACATTGCCTATGACGGGGGCACCAGTCTTGCATATAAAACTGTCAGAACGTTTGGTGATCGCGCCATTCTTATTGTGCAAGGCTATCTCACGAATGCAGGGTGCTATGTTTCACAGACTGTCGTAGCCTGCAGTAGTTGCACAGTACGTGACGATGTAGCTACATTGAGCTTTGCAAAAATTTGGTAATTTTGCATGTAATTTTTCAAACTGGGAAAATTTGGATCTTGGCACTTTTGTAATAACATCACGGAGGATATTTGACTTCTACCGTGAAGCAGACAGCGCGTTTGCGTTTTTTTCTTTCTCATTTTATTCATACATCCGCAGTATAAGATATTGACCGTCTCCAAGGTTAACTTACTGCCACGACAAAACGGTACTAGTTTTACTGACCCTGCAGGAGAGAAGGATGGGGTAAGTCGACCCAGCGGGCCAACATGTGAACCCTCAGCATTCACATTGGCGAGCCGGGCAACGCGGTCTATCGCAGGCCACCCGGATAGATAAATCAGAGCCGCGATGTACGTTCGCGCCTTGAACTTCTTTGGCACCATACAGTCGCCAACCGCGCCGATCCGGACTCGCTCGTTCTGGGGAGCGTGTAAATGCTGCGCTGGCGTGAGCACCCTCCCACGAATGAGGAGCAATGGGGGTTTTGGGCAGTGATTGCAGTTGCCAGCAAGCTGCGGCCTTGAGCTCGCGATGAAACTCTAAATCGTGCCTCGCACGAAAACATCGATTCGTGTCTCTCGTCGTTTGACGCAAGCAAAAAAAAAAATATCTGCCTGCAAGAAAAAAAAATCATCTTTCTCCAGCCCTAATCCCCGGCGAATCGATCGAAGCTTGCATTTTTTTTTGCTGAATATCTCCGCGACGGAATTGAATTCTTTAACGCCCACACCGTTTCTTTGTTGCGCGTGTGTTTCTCTCGCCGAAGCCTCGGCAGGACTACCCAGGCGCAAGATAGTAAACGACGCATTTGCGGTGGCGGCACAACGTGAACGCGGCGGAAATTCGCCTGCAACAAAGCAGAGCTCACTCCGAAGTTGTTTTGCTTTTCCTTGACGACGATCGCCAGCATTCCAAAACGGCGTCCATTGTCTTCAAAATGTTGAATGGGGCAAAAGCAGGAATACGTGTTTATTTATCTATCTAAATGGGACTATTTGATGTTGATTTTCATTGCAAGTTCAGGGCGAATAACGCCTTTACTCATGAAATGAAACCTCAGGGAAGGCTTCGATCCATAAAGCAATGAGACGATAACATTATGAATAGTTTGGAGAAACATAAAACCTTCAAAATATCAATGATGAACCAAATATTACATAAAGCAGCGGCTTCCAAACACCCGTCTTATCTTGCTCTTTACAGCATTGTCAAGCTTGCAAATATGCGCACTTAAAGATATCTTTATAACACTAGCCGCTTTGAAAAACACCACCTATCTGGAGCGCCACATGCCATCCAAACCTCCCCCCCCCCTTTGAGAAGACCAATTCAGATGATTTCATTGCAGAGAGACGCACCTCTGTGGCATTGTTAACTCGTTAACGTCCCCACAGCAAACGGTGAGGAAAATGTTCAAATTTCGCGTCAACAGCAGAGTGCTGATCGAGACGTCGCGTCAGCCCGAGAGTTGTTCGGAGGACGTGCGCCATCTGTGCGGCGTGACAATATTGGCTCTGCAATTCGCACGAGGGCCCAGGCATTTTGAGAATGAATGGAGTTGGGGGGGGGGGAGAGGAATTCCTAGAAAATCCGATGACCGAAAACTTTTCAAGCACGTCGGTAGCACCGAAGCCGACGTCCTGATTGCTCCTTTGACACGTTATAGACGTTCTGGGTAACGGAACGTACGCATGTTCATGACATCATCCAGGATATAGAATAAATAAGAATAAATAAGTGGGCTTTGGCAGAAAGCATCCCTAGAAGAAAAAAACTACGGACTATTTGTTTTTTCCCAGGTAAGGCCCACTGAGCTATGTAGCTATCGCGAATGATAGATCAACGAAGAGGCATATCACGTGCACATTTACAATAGCTGCCAAATACTCGAAATGATAGTCAACAGTAATAACGGAAGGAACGTGTCCAAAATCACGCCCACCGAGGAGACGCAGCGATGGAATCAACTTGCGTGCAGCTGCAAGGCGGATTATTATCACAGACTGGTGAGAGATTGATGGGGAAGCCTTCAACAAGCAAACATGGCTGACGATGATTACGATGCCAGAAGTCGGCTTTCTTTGGGCGAGTCTGGGTCCACGGTAGCTGGTATCCGATGGATCGGGTACCGTGAGGCACAGTTCAGGTTTGCTACGAAGAGCGGTCGCATGGCACCGTATGCTTAACGGTGCTGTATTGTACCGCATGGCTGAGCGGCCAAGATCTTTCAGTTATTTTATAGTGTCTCTGTACGTCATCTTGCATTTTGCCTTGTCCACACGCAATCGTGATCAATGTACACGCAGAATTCAACACGTATGGCTCAGAGCGCGAAAAGAAGGGACAGAAGTTAAGTGCTCATGGGCCAGTGTGCATTCCTCACATATTAATGACAGATTAAGTGTTTCACGATGAAGAACAGTGGCACAGTGCTTGGCACAACTCCGCTGTGAACCCGGTGACCCGAGTTAGAATCCTGGCTATGGATAACATCGGTGGCAAGGGATATCTGAACTCGCCAGCGGCATCTCGATCAATTGGTCAATCGCCGTCCTTTATTCAACTGGGTGGAAGCCAATTTAAATAATCTATTTTGCAAAGGAGATCTTACAACTTTAATTAGGCCAACGTGTGTGTGTCGTTTATTATTATTTTTTTTACTGAGCACGTGGCCTCTGCGACACCTTGCATCTGACATTCAATAATTACGAATGACCCTACGGACGCTGTCTTAATGTCTTGATATTCATCAGATAGCACGCTTTCAGCAATCCCCTGAAACATATACACGTGGGACGCAGTGGTGGAAGCACGGGTCAGTGCACCAAGCTATGAACCCGGCATCCCACGGTGATGAGATGTTATCTTCCTTGCCTGGTATGAGGGAGGTTGGGGGTTCGATCCCGACTCCGATGCCTGTTCTATATTTGGAGTTTGAATGTTCTCCCCGTGGTCGCGTGGATTTTTTCTTCTCCGGGTCCTCCGGTTTTTCCTTCCACATTTAGAGACATGCATTGAGATTATGAGATTTCTTTGGTGCTATAAATGTCCAAATGGTGGGCCACTATGTTTGTTGAGCTATCAATTGTGGCCAGATCGCCTCTGAAAAATAAGTCAATACCTCAGTGGGCTTTGAATGTGTATGGGTGGTTTGTTGACCTTTCATGAACTTTGCACTACCATCATGTTTTTTTTTCCTGCTTGTTGTTGTAACGTCCTTACCCGCCCTTACTGGACATCTGTGAAAACGAGCTTCATAGCTCATCGGATTCCTCCAGTATAAATAAATATTCTGATTCTGATCCCGACTTCAATTTCCGTCCATAATTGATCTCACCATTGGCGAGCAACGTCTGAAAACCGGTGCTCCCACCTTGCGCTTTCACCAAACCCCAACTAACAAGTGTGGTGAAGTATGGTCAAACAAGCCCCCGTGACCGACGGGGCCGTAGGGAGGCCTTCATCCAGCAGCGGATTGACAAAGAGCCACACACGCACACGTTCACTTCGAAATAGAAAAAAAACTAGGCACCGTGTGCCCAAGTCACGTGCCGCTATTCATAACGCGGCAAATAACTCGCAGAGATCACGCTGCAAAAGTTGAAAGTCTCAAAACCTTGCAATTACATTTCATGGAAATTTAATAGTGAAATGTTGCCCCTCAAATTCAGCTGCGCCCTTATCGGCGTAAGTGCAAGTCTTAGTTGGCGATACGTGTCGCTTCCAGCCCCTACCCCCCGTCACCATCCCCCCATGCGTCCCGTGCCTTGCCAAGATCTGCACGCAGGTGGCGCGAGGTCACGGCATTGACCCCTTGAATGTAAAACAATGATAATAATAATAATAAGAAACAACAACCATCATTCACAGCCGTACATCAAGGCACAGCTAGATTAAGACCTCCCGCTCGCACCATTGCCGTGGCGGTCTGTCATGGGGCACCCGCGGTGGCTAGGAGATGTTAACTACCTCGCTTGGTATACAGAAGGTCGTGGGTTCGATCCCTACCCTGACGCCTGCTGCTGTATATTTCGAGTTTGCGTGTCTCTCTCTCTCTCATCATCATCATCACGGTGGCTAGGAGATGTTAACTACCTCGCCTGGTGTACAGAAGGTCGTGGGTTCGATCCCGACCCTGACGCCTGCTGTATATTTAGAGTTTGCATGTTCTCCCCGTGGCCGCACGGATTTTTTCTCCGGGTCCTCTGATTTTCCCTCCACATTACGAAACAAGCGCTTAAGAATATTTGCCTCCCATGAATTTCCACACGATAAGCCACTTCGTTGCGCTATCATTCGTGGGGCCAAGTCGCTTCTATCGTCGAAGCCCCGGGATGCCGCGTTGCCCACCTGTGTATGCGGTAGCGGGTGGTGAAACCCTGGCGGTAGCAGTCGCTGAAGTAGGAATATTCCGGAGCGTGGTGGAACGGCCCTCTCTCGGCCAGGAGCCATGACAGAGGCTCCGTGCCGCCACCTCTCAACTGCTGCTGCTGCAGCTGCTGCTGCTGCTGTTGCTGCTGTTGCGACACCTGCTGCAGCTGCTTTGGCTGCTGCTGCTGCTGCTGAGAAAGGGAATGCAAAATTCTGGAGGCTGGTCCAGGTCCGATGGCCTGCGAGGGCAAGGCCAGCCAGGGCTCAGCGATCCAGGGCCCCAGCAGCAGCCAGCAGAGGAGGTCAAACGGACGCCGGCGCATCCTTCCCGACGGCGACCGCGCGCCTTCATTCTCGCACCATCGTCCCTGCACGCGTCACGACAACAACGACGACTACGATGACGACGACGGTGACGACGACAGACTACGTTAGTAACGCGCCCGTGACGTAAACAAGCGTACCGGAGCGCAGAATTACATGCAAAGAGCAGTAGGGAACGGGAGAGAACTATGAAGGGTAGGAACTGCTTTTCGTGTTTAGTTTGTTGTCCTTCCCCCGCACCTCCGATTAGCAGGGTTGGCTACGTAGGGTGCTAAAGAAGTTCAACATACATACATATATACGTAAGGAACACACTCATCCATTCGCTCACCCACTCAGTCACCCACTGACGCACCCACCCACTCACCCACGCACCCACATACTCACTCATTCAACAACAACAGCTTAAATTTACGATGCACTCGTGACTATGCCGAACATTTCAGAGAGCAAATAATGTCTTGAAGAGGAACGGGAGAGTTGAACAAGGAAAACAGAGAACGGAAGCTATTACAATTATTTGTATTTTAGCAGGTGAGGCCCACTGAGCTATACTCTTTGGTTCTTTCAGTAAAGTCACGTAGGTAGAAATAAAATAAAATAAATCACGACGTTTTGAACGCAAGCTTTCGTCTTCAGGCGAGACAGTGAGATGGCCTTGATTAGAGAAACCAAGTGAGCTGAGTTAAGTACTGCTGAGGTAGTCTTGCGCGTGAATGGACGCAAGGTCTCGGACAGAAATCGGGCCAGTTTGTAGGTAGGTTGAGTTGATGGTGGAAACGATGGGCCGAAGTGGAGTCCCTTCTTTATGGATTTTTGGAAGACCATAGAATCTGGGTGGTCTAGCAGCTGAAGGTTTTAGGGAGAAAAATCGAACTAGTGATGATATTGTTGGTTTTTGTAGCCAGGCGATTGGTAGGATCTTTGTTGATTTGAGCTATATAGCTGTTTTTCAGTAGCGACCTGGCCACAAAAGAAAGCTCAACGAAATGGCTTATCATCACGTGGAAATGTATAGCGTCCAAATCACTCTAAATGCACTTTTCTAAATGTGGAGGGAAAAACCGGATGACCCAGAGAAAAAAAATCCACGCGACCGCGGGGAGAGAGACACGCAAACTACAAAATATACAGCATGCTTCTGGGTCGGGATCGATCCCACGACCTCCTGCACATCAAGCGAAGGCGGTAACATCTCGTGATGAAGGGGGCGGGGAGCACGGCTTTTAGTTTTTTGGGAGAGACTTGAAAGCACAGAGAGAGAGGGGGGGGGGGCGTCTGGGTGGGAGTCATCCCTGAGGCTAAAACAGCAGACACCGCCGGTCGACCAGCGGATCTTGGGAGCAAGGACGAATCCATAGCACATGGTTCGGTGCAACATTCGGAGAATACTGTAATATTATTTTCTGAAAGAAATATTTTTTTGGGGCCTTTGGAATATTCAACAAAGGCACAACCATCTCATTTCCTGTGCAGTTGTGCAGAGTCCCAGGGTCACTGGCAGGTGAGAATAGCAAAATGGGTTCTCAAATAAATATATAAGTAGAACAGGCAAAGCCGTTCCCTTCAGCAACGTGCAGCCACCTAAATCTCCGCGACGGGAAAGGCGATGAGAATCTGTGACTCAAGATTGCATTTTTTGCGCGATTGTTGCTGCTTATATCTTTGTTAACTCAAGCATAAAGTTCCCTGTTTCGTCGCAGTCACGTGAAGCCGCCACGGCGCAATGGTCAGACACACCGGGCCTGCGATCCAGAGGTCGCCCGGTTCGATTCCATCTCCCAAAAGGTGCGGCAGTTTCCTAACTCCCACCACCTCGGTCGCGACTCAGCGGTGTGAACGGATGCAGCGCGGTCGGTCAGTCGGTCGGTTGGCCGCGTGCGGAGGGCTAAAGTGTGGGTAACTCCAACCTCTTCCCAGCGTGGAAGAGTAGGCCAATAAAAAACAAATCTCCTCTAGCGAGGGCACCTCTGTAGGAGATCCCTACAGTGTGATGGCCCCTTTCTGCCACAGTGGCATGAAATAAGCAATTGCAGGGCTGCACCTTTCACCGCATTTGCTTTTCGTTTCCCTTTTGGCAAATATGTGAGCGTCCAAATCTCCGCAACGGAAAAGGAGATGGGAATGCGACCTGAGATTGCATTTTCGCGCGACCGCTGCTGCTCATTTCTTCGAACGATCACCTTCAAGGATAAAGTCCCGCCGTGTTGGTCACCACTTTGAGTTCGGCAGTGGTCGCGTGTCGCTTGTGTTTTAGCCACCATCTTATCCTGGCTCCAAGCCGAGACCAGGTCAACTCCGCGTGTAAATTTGTCTGATTGGCATGAGCCGAGTCAATCAGCTCGTGTGTTTTTTTAAGGAGCGGGTTAAAAAAAATAAAAAAATCCACAGTATTACAAGATTCAAAATGTTATCGATTGGTCCCAGATACCGTACGACCGTGTCATTAATCGCACAACGTTTTGATGAATGCGTCTTTTAATTTTAGAACATTTTATACCTTCTGTGCTCGTGAAAAAAAATTGACGTAAATATTTGACTTGAGTATCTTATACCGCATTTACAATGCCTGAAATGTAATACAGTGTTCTGGCGGTGCAATATTAGTTGCTTGCGTCTGTTAATTTTGTAACGCTTTCTCCAGATATGATGCATTGCTGTGAGTGGAGTGGTGACGTACCATCGTGTAAGCACAGCGACCTGAGTTCGATTTCCAGCCCAGGCTAACACCAGCTGCGAGTCATATTTAGAAACAACGACGGACCAGCGTGGCGAAGTATGGTCAAACAATCCCCACGACCAATACGGTGTGCGTAGGTAGGCCCGCATCAAGCAGCGGAACGAGAAATACATTTTGACAAATGCGCGTGACTAATCCAAAGGCGTACGAACTTTTGTCGTTGTTGTTGTTACAGGCTCACAATACCCAAAAGCCCAAGCAGGCAGTGACAAAAACAGCGCCACTGAAAGCGGAAATAGATTATCATTATTATTGAGCAAAGTCGCAAGGACTTGGGAGAAGAGACGATGGGAGGGAATTTCAACGTTGAGCGGCGCGAGGAAAGAAGCGGAGAGAGAGGGGCGAGCAGTGCGGTGGTCGAACACTTTGTGCGGATGACATGATCACGGTAGAACACTTTGACTCTCAGTAAGGTAACAGTCAACTAGTGAAGCACGCATGCCGAACTTCATTCGCGCCGTACGTAGTCAACCGTGCTCATCGAAGGTGCTGGTAGCTACACCACCCCAATGTGTGCCAACCAAGCCATAGCAGGGCCATGCTAACGGTCGTTGTTGCAGAATACCACAATGAGGATGCATCGACTGTCTACGCTCGTGTATGTATGTGGATCACGTGTGTGTGTGTGTGGATCACGTGTGTGTGGATCATGTGTGTGTGGATCACGTGTGTGTGTGTGGATCATGTGTGTGTGGATCACGTGTGTGTGTGTGGATCACGTGTGTGTGTGTGGATCATGTGTGTGTGGATCACGTGTGTGTGTGTGGATCACGTGTGTGTCTGTGTGTGGATCACGTGTGTGTCTGTGTGTGGACCACGTGTGTTGTGTGGATCACGTGCTTTGAGAAGTCATGTACCATGCTACAAACCCGGCGGCCCAAGTTCAATTCCCTGCCGCGGCTACCATCGGTGCCCTTCTTCTGTCGTCCGGCTGATGTAGATGCAGAGCATCAGCCACAATTTCACATTCCGGTGGTCAAGCCGGACAACCGTGTCAGGAGCAGCGGATGTGTCTCGCCTTCGTGTTTGTGGATCGGGCATTGCGACGTTACACGTTGTACGGTCTGCTCTGGATGCCCACAGTAGCACACTTGAGAGTTTTTAATTATCCATTTGTGCATCACGTATACCATCGGTGGTGATTATTGGAAACATGTCCTGGGCTTCCCCGAGGTCGAAACATCCTAAAATGAATAGCTGGTGTGGTGTGTAAGCATCTGCAGTGGTGGGACAATGATCGCTGGGCATGGTTTATTTATGTTCGTCGAACTTCTTTCGCACCGTACGTAGCCAACTGTGCTAATCGGTGGTGCTTGGCCACCCCGCCCCGTTCCGCACCTGCGGGTTCGGTGGTTGCACGCGGTGCGGATGACACGAAACATTCAACGGCGCACAGACTGACTGTGGGCAACAGCCCCCTAAACTGGGTCGCACGAGCGAGGAACGCTCCTGTGATTCCGAGAGGGATGAGCAGCGCGCAGCAGGGTAGCAGCGCGTCTCCCACGGCGGGTGTGGCCGCTCGCAGTAATTGTGGAATGATTGCTTGCGATTGTTTTCAAAATTGGCCGTCAGTCTTCTTACGCGCTCTGCGTTCTTGCATTTATCGGCACACCAATCGTTTTGTTAGTTTGTTGCCCTTCACCCCCGCCGCGCACTCTCCGATTAGCACGGCTGGCTAGGTGCGGTGCGAAAGAAGTTTAACGTAGGCACGTTCATCTCGCCCTCCCTACCCCAAAATCGACAATGCCCATTTGAATGTTTACCACCGGCAGCATACAAGCACATCATTACCTCCACTCCAATGTGCCATGATTGTGTGTGTCCCCCCCCCCCCCCCGATCTCCTCTTGGTAAAACGGTACACATCACGTGCGTGGCTAAAGTATCACCGGATTATTATGAAGAGCAGCCCTGCTTCATAACGCAATGTAACGTCGCGCTGTGCGCTGGCGCTCAAACGAAACAAAAGTCGCGAACGAGATTCATTGCTAATCGCAACCTGTCATCCAAAATATCATTGCTTCCTACGTCAAATTGAAACCTCTGAAAAGATGTTAACTCCCTCGCCTGGTATACAGGATGTCGTGGGATTGTTTCCGACCCTGACTCCTGCTGTATATTTGTAGTTTCTATTTTCTCCCCCGTGGTCGCGTGGATTTCTCTCCGGGCACTCGGGTTTTTCCCGTCCGCATTTAGAAACATGCGTTCATATTAATTGGCTGCTGCTAAACATTTCCACGTGACAAGCCACTTCGTTGAGCTATCCTTCTTGGGTAGGTCACTTCTGAAAATGACATTTTTGAAG